AGGGGAGAGTGGCTGCAGTGGGAACCTTAGTCATACCTAGGAAAGGCACTTAGCCAATTAGGACCCCCAAACACACCCTCAAATCTTTGTTTTTCTATTTTCCTGTCCCTTAAAGAGTCATGAAGAAAATGTTATTTGAATCAAATAAATCTCACTATAAGGTCAGCGGGTGAGCACAGTGGTTTAGGTGCTGGAATCCCATGTAGTTGACAGTAGTTTGAGTTCTGGACCCAGTGGCTTGTAATTCACAGCAGACGTGTGTGCATGCCCAAAATCCCAAGAGGAGAATGGAGGAGAAGGGGCTGCAGCATGGCCATCCCCTTCAGGGTGATTTCTCACTTTCTGTCTCTCTGTCTCTCCAGAGAGTGCATGCACCCTATAACAAAAACCCATCTAAAAACAACAGCAACAACACCCATAAACTCACTATAGACACTTCTGGTGCAGGAACACACCCGCAACTCTTATCAGTTGCTTAAAAGCACAGGCTTTGGCTTTGGGCCCCTTGTTAACATTTTTGTTCCTATCTACACTAATTAGGCATAAGTGCAGGGACAGGAACTCCCCTGACGTGGGAAATGCTAGTGGCCTGTTAGAAGCTGCCTGCAAGTGCTTCTCAGCTCTTCTGTTCAGACAAAATGCTCACACTGCACAGGTATTGAATTTTAGAGTGCTCCCAAGTTTTGAGAGCTGCTTGTGAAGGTTTTGAGGTATCTTTAAAAAAAAAATACTTATTTTATTTAACTTTATTTATTTATTTTAATTTAACCAGAGATAGAGTGGGGGGCGGGGAGTGAGAAAGCAAACCGCCAGATCCAGGACTCAAACCACAGTTGGCCATGTGGCAGTCCAGTGCCCTAACTACCATGCCATTTGCCAGCTCCATGAGGAATCTTAGAACTGTATCAGTCTCTGCAGTCCTGCTCAGAGTCCAGCAAAGGTAAAGTGGTTGTTACCACTAGGCCCATCTGGGCCCTGTCCTCAGAGCCTAGGCCAGAAAAGCTCTGAGCTGCAGCCAGTGGGTACCTTCCTGAGCAAGTCCCTGGTGAGGGGAGCAGTGAGCAGGGCCATTTCTCACCTTCTCTGAGGCCTCGAAGGACAGTTGTTCCACCCTGTGCGGGGCAGCTGTCCTCCATGTGCTCCACAGGGGCTTTGTGGCCTGCCAGGCACTGTCCTCTGCTCCCCGTCCCTGGCAGAGAAGCACTGTGCACAGGACATTATGCCTGGGCCCGGCTCTTTCCAACTACAAAGACACCCCAGACAGGGCCTTAGACACAGGTGTGGGGTCTTCTCAGGCCTCTGCCAGGGAGGTTTTGGAATGTGTGGGCCGAGTTCCCAGGACCCCACCTGCCTTCTTGAAGACAGGCATGGAGCACTCTGGTGAGCTCTGAGCCATCAGCGCAGAGTTCAGCCTGGTGACAGACCACTTGTTTGTCCTGGGGCCCGCCTACTTCCTTTCTTCTCTGTGATAAATTCCAGCTCTGGGTTTGGGACAGTCCCCTGGAAAGATGAGCCAGCTGACCATGGACTTGTCCTCAGGGTTGATCAGCTGAGTCTCGGTCCAGGCTCCTCTAACCCAAGGGCACCAGGTGGGGTGGCTGCAGCTGCTAGAGACCTCTGCATTGCAGGAATTCAGAGACAGCTGGGACAGAGGCCCCTGTGGTCCTGCCATAGCTGGGAGACGAGTCAGGACGGTACGTGGCGGGAGACGCTTCCACACAGCAGTGCCCACACGGCCCCGCCGCTTCGGTCTCCCGGTTTTCTCTGTCGAAGTACGTGTTAAGATGGAAGTGCAAGGTGTCTGTGTGGGACGTAGCCCCCTCGTTCCCTCCTGCATCCCCTTGCGGGCAGCGTGGCCCCTGCCCTATGGGCGAGCTTTCCACTGGGCACTGCCTCTCACAGTGGTCATCGTGCCCCATGTGGGCCCACTCTCTGCTAGAGAGTGTCTGCCCACGGACCCACATCTCGGCCTCTCTCTGGCCTTAGTGCATGAAGGCCCTCCTGCCCAGAAGCGGCCCTTCCAAAGCTGCCACCTGCTCTGGCCTCTGGGACTCTGGCCAGGACAGAGGGCACCAAGGGAGCCTCAGCTGCTGCTGGCCCGCAGGGCGGGGGTGAGGCGGTGCTGCTCCCAGACTGCGTGGGGACAGGGAAGTGACCTGCGGGGGTGGACAGCGGCAGCTTTTCTGGGACTGGAAAGCTGCTGTCTGAAGACACGACTCTCGGAGTACTGTGTAATGGCAGAGCTGTGTGCCCTGAGAGCAGAGACAGTGAGTGTGCAGAGGCGTGGGGACACCCGCCCAGCTATGACTGACGTTGCTTACATTCCACGTCCAGCCAGGCCTCCACATTCCTTAGATTGCTGGAACTGGGGGAGGGGTCCTGCACGAAGCTAAGCCCCCCACTGTGGTGCAGCCACCACCTCTGAGCATGTGTGGGGCAGGGGAGGGGGCGGAGGCCTGCTGGGTCGCTCGGAGGGGCCTGGGAGAGCCGGGCCCCTGCCCTGTGTGGCTGGTCTGGACTCTACAGCGCCAAGGGAAGATGAAGAGTTGGTCACAGCTTCCACTGTGGACAGCCCAGCTGGTCACTCCCTCTGCTCAGCATGAAAATGAGCAGGGCCTGGGACGGGTGAGTAGCCCTGCTCTTGGCACCCCCCCACTTCTGGGTGACACCTGAGAAGGTGAAGGGTTGTGGGCCAAAGGTCAGGAGGCCCCTGCCAAGGAGGTGAGGAAGCCACAACCTCTGAGGAGTTGGATGGGAGGATGTGAATGTGGGCATCAGTCAGTGAGGAAGGGGGCACGGGAAGAGCCCAGGCGCCAGGCCTTCACAGTGGCAGGAGGGCCTGGGCGGCACCGTCAGGCTAGTCTGACCCGGCTCATTTGCACGAGCTCTGTGAAGGGAAGCAGGTCACCGTGGGGGGCCAGGTGGGAAACAGATGGATGCTCTGTGTGCTGGGACGATGGGATGCAGGAGGAGGAGGTGCTGGGACGATGGGCGCAGGAGGCGGAGGTGCTGGGACGATGGGCGCAGGAGGCGGAGGTGCTGGGACGATGGGCGCAGGAGGCGGAGGTGCTGGGACGATGGGCGCAGGAGGCGGAGGTGCTGGGACGATGGGCGCAGGAGGCGGAGGTGCTGGGACGATGGGCGCAGGAGGCGGAGGTGCTGGGACGATGGGCGCAGGAGGCGGAGGTGCTGGGACGATGGGCGCAGGAGGCGGAGGTGCTGGGACGATGGGCGCAGGAGGCGGAGGTGCTGGGACGATGGGCGCAGGAGGCGGAGGTGCTGGGACGATGGGCGCAGGAGGCGGAGGTGCTGGGACGATGGGCGCAGGAGGCGGAGGTGCTGGGACGATGGGCGCAGGAGGCGGAGGTGCTGGGACGATGGGCGCAGGAGGCGGAGGTGCTGGGACGATGGGCGCAGGAGGCGGAGGTGCTGGGACGATGGGCGCAGGAGGCGGAGGTGCTGGGACGATGGGCGCAGGAGGCGGAGGTGCTGGGACGATGGGCGCAGGAGGCGGAGGTGCTGGGACGATGGGCGCAGGAGGCGGAGGTGCTGGGACGATGGGCGCAGGAGGCGGAGGTGCTGGGACGATGGGCGCAGGAGGCGGAGGTGCTGGGACGATGGGCGCAGGAGGCGGAGGTGCTGGGACGATGGGCGCAGGAGGCGGAGGTGCTGGGACGATGGGCGCAGGAGGCGGAGGTGCTGGGACGATGGGCGCAGGAGGCGGAGGTGCTGGGACGATGGGCGCAGGAGGCGGAGGTGCTGGGACGATGGGCGCAGGAGGCGGAGGTGCTGGGACGATGGGCGCAGGAGGCGGAGGTGCTGGGACGATGGGCGCAGGAGGCGGAGGTGCTGGGACGATGGGCGCAGGAGGCGGAGGTGCTGGGACGATGGGCGCAGGAGGCGGAGGTGCTGGGACGATGGGCGCAGGAGGCGGAGGTGCTGGGACGATGGGCGCAGGAGGCGGAGGTGCTGGGACGATGGGCGCAGGAGGCGGAGGTGCTGGGACGATGGGCGCAGGAGGCGGAGGTGCTGGGACGATGGGCGCAGGAGGCGGAGGTGCTGGGACGATGGGCGCAGGAGGCGGAGGTGCTGGGACGATGGGCGCAGGAGGCGGAGGTGCTGGGACGATGGGCGCAGGAGGCGGAGGTGCTGGGACGATGGGCGCAGGAGGCGGAGGTGCTGGGACGATGGGCGCAGGAGGCGGAGGTGCTGGGACGATGGGCGCAGGAGGCGGAGGTGCTGGGACGATGGGATGCAGGAGGTGGAGGAGTGGGACGAGGGGACGCAGGAGGTGGAGGTGGGGGACGATGGGGCGCAGGAGGTGGAGGACAAGTGGGCCAAGCGGATGGGCCGGAGCTCTGAGCAGAGCCGGGCCCCCAGGCGATGAGCAGGGCCGGGCCCCCAGGCGATGAGCAGGGCCGGGCCCCCAGGCGATGAGCAGAGCCGGGTCCTATCTGCCTCAAAGCTCCCATCTGGGAAATGGGCCTGCGTTTTCCAGGCTGTGGAAGGGGATTTGGAGTCTAGGGAGGCTCCGTGGGCTGGGAACATGGCAGAGCTCACAGCCCCGAGTGCGGCTGCCTGCTGTTAGCGGGCTGCACCCCGGGGACCCTCCTTTTGTGAAAGCCACGAGCCTGGCCCCAGGGTTGGACGAGGCCCAGGGAGGACATGGCAGCAAAGAAGAGGCCTGTGTCCAGCCCAAGTCAGGGCTGGCCTGTGTGTCCAGACTGTCCTCCAAGCCTCTCTGAGCCCGGCTGGCAGTGTGTCCTCCTGTGCCTTCTAGCAGTCGACTTAAAGCCAGGGATTTGAAAGTGCTGGGCCGGATCCCACAGTCACAAGAAGCCATGTTGCCCCGCCCTGCGGCCCCGTTTCCAGCCACATTAGACTCATCGTCACCGTCCCTTTCCCAGAAGTGTCAACCACAGAGGGCTGACTGGAGACATGGCTGCTGGCCCCACCCTCACTTTCTCCATTCCCCATTTTCTCACCACTTCTTGTTGAGTTGGCTTCTTCTTTACCCCCTCATGCTTCGACTCCAGGCTGTGCCCTGCCTGCAGTTTTTTGTTTTTGTTTTTTTGTTTTGTTTTGTTTTTGAGAGGTTTTTGCTATAGGGCGCATGCACTCGCCAGAAAGACAGAGAGACAGAGAGATAGAAAGCAAAAAATCACCCCCCAGGGGGGATGGCCACATCACAATCCCTTCTCCTCCATTCTCCTCTTGGGATCTTGGGCATGCACGTACACGTGCCCGGTGTGAGTTTAAGCCATTGGGTCTGGGACTCCAACCGCGGTGACTACATGGGAGTTCCGCGACATAGCCATTACGCCAACTGCTGGTCCCCTGCCAGCAGTCTTTAAAAATTACTGATAAATTTTAAAAGCGTGTGAAAGCAGCTGACCCCTCCCTGGACACTGCACGATGGGTCCACCTGCCTGGTCTGCGCTCCTGCAGGCCCTTCACCTCTACACAGGGTGCTGGGGTGCTGCCCGTGAGTGAGGCTGCTGCTCCCCCCCCGCGGGCCGCTCCCCTCGGGGCTGCTCAGGCCACGGGCCAGGCCTGCTTATCCTTCTGGACCTGCCTGGCCAAGGTTGAGCTGGGGGGCCGCTGCTCACTGAGGCTTGAGTTGCTGAGATGAGGAGGTGACGGGGAGGGCACCTGTGTGATGAGGGTGAGTTGCCAAGGCAGGTGACTGAGCCCTCTCAGTCTTGCATCCTCGTAGTGACCCAAGGGGGCCCCACTGACACCCTCCTGCTGACTCCCCTCGCTCACTCCCATGGGCCCCAGCCCACTTGTACACAGGGCCTGACCAGTCCCAGGCCACACCTTCCCACCCGTGGGGACCTTGGGTTGAGAAGAGTCTTGGCAATGGGCAGGAGAGACCTAGACATGGAGCTGCGGAGGGGCCCTGGGCCAGCCTGAGACTCCTCCTCGGGGACCCGCTAAAATCCCCCGGTTCTGTGCCCTGCTCCCGCAGAGCGTGGGCACACTTCCTCGTACCTGTGTTTATGGAGCATGTGTTAGGGAGCAAGTGCTAAGAGTCAAGCTGAGGATAAAACACGGGTGTAATTCTCTGTCAGGGAAGTGGGACCAAATAGAACCGAGGCTCAAGTGCTGTTTTTCAAGTCCTTTTCCTCCAGTCGGAGCGGAGTGATCTATTTTCTCAATGCCATCAAATTCCCACACAGCAGAGAGTGAGGAGCAGCTGGCGCCGTGTACCCCTCAGAACCAGCAGCAGAACCAGCAGAGCCGCAGGAGCAGGGGCAGGGGCGGGGGTGGGCAGCTCCCCTCCTCACTCTGAGAGCTGCTGGTGCTCCCTCACTGGCCCTGGGCATGTTTGTGCGATTCCTGTCTGGGGATCTGGCAGTGCAAATGGCCCTTCCCTGGGTTTCCTTTGGCCTCACAGTCCCCTGTGGACACTGCCTGTGCCCCCTTTCTGCTCCTTGGTTCACAGAACTGTGCATTTTCTTGCCAGGAACACGTCTGCTATGTGTGTTGCAGACATTCTGACATCTTTTCCAGTTTTTTATCTTTTAACTATTAATTGGATGCAGGGGATTTGCCAGCGTCTCTGTACAATTTTCTTTTTTCATAGTTTAACAAATCTTCCCAGCCTTGAGTGTAGAAATACACTCTCCCGTGGCGTTCACATTCGAAGTTTGGTCTCATGCACGAGTCTTTACGCATCTGGAAGCAATCTTTCCGCGCTTGGCTTAAGACGGGGCTCCAGTTTCCCTTTTCTTGATGACCATACCAGCTCCCTGGCACCGTGCACTGACCTGCCCTGCACCCAGTGGGCCCACGTCTGCCCGCCCTGCAGCCTGCTCGTCTCCTCACCAGGGCCGCCGCCCTGAACTCCAGATGTGATTGCAGGGCTTGACCTGTGCTAGGGCAAGCTTTCCTGCCTTGTCTGCGTCCACACTCACCCTCGTGTTTATCTAGCACTGACTGTGTCAGGAAACATGTCAGAAACATCTGTCTTCTCGCAGTCTACATTCAAATGGGGCTATGTATCTGGGGGCTAGACTCTGAGCTGAGAGATCGTAGGTTCTGTGGAAAAGAGGGGAACAAGCTAGACTGCAAGTGATAGTGGGTGGGGGCTACCATTTAAATGGAAGGGCCAGACGAGGGCTTTAATTAATTAATTAATTAATTAAAAATAATGTTTCCACCTAACTTTATTTATTTATTTTAATTTGACCAGAGAGGGATAGAGCGAGAGCGAGAGAGAGAAAGTTACCAGGTCTAGGACTCGGACCGCAGTTGGCCATGTGGGAGTCCAGCGCTCCCAACCACCATGCCCAACCTGGGTTTTATTTTTTTTAGAGGTTTTTGCCTTAGGGTGCGTGCATTCACTGAAGAGAGAGAGACAGAGACAGTGAGATGGAAAGTGAGAAATCACCCCCAGGGTGGGGGTGATTGGGATGTTGGGCATGCATGCACATGCACCTGGTGTGATTTTCAAGCAACTGGGTCTGGTACTCGAACCTGGTCAGCCTTGTGGAAGTCTAGCGACAACCACTATGCTATCTGCTGGCCCCACAAGGACTCTCTTTAAAGGTAGTGTTTGAGCCAAACTTGAAGGGAGTGAGAGCCATAACCGTATGTAGCGGGAGCTCCCAGAGGCACTAGGCGTGGACCTGTGAGGTCGAGGGGTAAGGAAGCTGCTGTGGCTGGAGAGGCACAGGAGACAGGCTCAGAGGGTCTCTGTAGTGACCACGCTTTCACGCTGAGTGAGGCGGGAACACGGTCATGACATTCTCCTTAGTCCCCGTGAGTCACGGCCCTTGCTTCTAACAGATCTCACGCGTCCCAGTTTAGGTGAGGGACCCCACAGTCTCACGCTGCGTCATGCGGCACACCCTGCCCTATGCACACCCATTCTGTGCACCGCCATTCGGGTTGTTCTGTTTATGGCTGTTACAGATTGTGCTGCCATGATTTGGCACATGTGCGTGGGTGGGTACCACCCTCGTGCCTATGCCAGGCATAGGGGTGTGATATGTTCAACACCAGCTGAGAACACACATGGTCTTCCTGATTGGCTTCCAGCTCACCAACCACCAGAGGAGGGTACTCAATGTTGCTCATCCTTGGCGACCTTTGGTGCTCCCAGCAACCTACGGGTCAGCCCCGTTAGTGACGTGGGGTGGCGTTTCTGTAGGTAGTTTCCAGGTCACTAAAGATGCTGGTCATGTTTTCCCATGTTATCTGGTCACACAAATTGTAAAAATTTCTATGTTTTCCTTTACTTCACAATTTTAACATTTATATTTAGATCTTTTGTGCATTTGGGCTTAACCATTATGTATAGTGTGAGGCAAGAGTTGGGGTGCTCTTCTTCTCAGCATTTACCAACATGGCCATGTACACAGACATTTGTTTGTGAACACTCTAGCTTGTCTGTGATCTACACACCTAATGCGGGGACCACGCAGAACACACATGGTCTTCCTGATTGGCTTCCAGCTCACCAACCACCAGAGGAGGGTACTCAATGTTGCTCATCCTTGGCGACCTTTGGTGCTCCCAGCAACCTACGGGTCAGCCCCGTTAGTGACGTGGGGTGGCGTTTCTGTAGGTAGTTTCCAGGTCACTAAAGATGCTGGTCATGTTTTCCCATGTTATCTGGTCACACAAATTGTAAAAATTTCTATGTTTTCCTTTACTTCACAATTTTAACATTTATATTTAGATCTTTTGTGCATTTGGGCTTAACCATTATGTATAGTGTGAGGCAAGAGTTGGGGTGCTCTTCTTCTCAGCATTTACCAACATGGCCATGTACACAGACATTTGTTTGTGAACACTCTAGCTTGTCTGTGATGTACACACCTAACACGGGGACCACGCTCTCCGTCTGTGATGTACACACCTAACACGGGGACCACGCTCTCCGTCTGTGATCTACACACCTAACACGGGGACCACGCTCTCCGTCTGTGATCTACACACCTAACACGGGGACCACACTTTTTGCAGTTCTACATTAGGAACTGAAATCAAGTGTTATAAACGGTCTAAATTTGTTCTTTCTTAAAATTGTTTTGACTAAACTAGTTTTTTTTGCTTTTTTATATAAAGTTAATTTGAATCAATTTTTACAAAAACAAATGCCTGCTGATTTTGATAAAGATCAAGTTTAATGAATAGACATTTTAGATTGCATTTTCTAAGTCATAAACATGGGATATCTTTCCATTTGCTCAGTTCTTAATTTCTCAGCAATGTTTTGTACAGATCTTACACACATTTTGTTAATTTATTCTTAAGTATATCATGTTTGTGGGTATTTTTATAAATGTTTATTTTTATTTTTTTTGGAGAGGTTTTTGCTATACGGCGCGTGTGCTCACCAGAAAGACAGAGAGACAGAAAGCGAGAAATCACACACACACCCCACCCCCCATGGTTGCTGGCCACACTGCAATCCCTTCTCTTCCATTCTCCTCTCAGGATCTTGGGCACACACACACACACACAGACACACACACACAGTGTGAGTTTATGCCACTGGGTCCAGGACTTGAACCGCGGTCGACAACATAACATAGGAGTCCAGCAACGTAGCCATTATGCCAACTGCTGGTCCCCATATAAATGTTTATTTTTGCATGTTGTTTATTTTATTTTCCAATTGCTGTCGCTGGTATCTAGAAATACAATTGACTTTTGTATATTGCTTTGTATTCTATGACATTTTAAAGTCATTTATTCATTTTAGTAGTTTAAATGTATTTTAGGATTGTCCATGAACACAATACTGTTATTTGTAAATAGACTCTACTTCTTTTACCATCTATCCGCTTCTCATCTCTTGCCTTATTGAACTGGCCGCATCAACCTCTGCCTTTAGTGGGTGTCTGGCCATTCTCATTCATTCTCATTCAATGCAGCTATTGACAGCTGTGATCAGGTCTCTCATCTTTTTTTCTTAATTTTGTAGAACGTGTACACTCACCTGAGAGAGACTGAGAGACAGAGAGAGGGAAAGGGAAAGGAAAAGCCACTGCCCCGGGGCGGGGGGGGGCATGCTTTAATCTTCTCCTGTCCTCTCCGGGTTTCGGGCCTGCACTTACAGTGCAGAGTGCAGAGTGCAGAGTGGATCTGAGTCCCCACCACCTTGCCCTCAAGCCAGCTCTGTGACTCCAGGGCTCTGCGGGCTCATCCCAGCTCACGTGTCTTCCGTCGGATCTGTGCCCGCAGTGCCGTGGCCCCTGAGCCCGGGGATGCTGCATGTCACACCCCAGGGCCTGTCAGATACCCACATCCTGCGGGCGGCCCTCTCCGCTTTCCTGCCCACACCCGGGTTAGCCTGCTTATTAAGCAGGCGGACACTCTGGTCTCTATTGTGGGACTGTGAGGGCCTATCTCCACAGCTGTGGATAATCTAGCCCTGGCTCTGGGCTGGGAAGGAGCTGGAATCTAAATATTGGACTTCCGGCTTACTAAACAAGGGTAGTCCCAGCATTCGCCGCTCTAGAGTGATAGCAAATTTGCACATTCCCCGTTTGCTCTGCAACTCAAGGGGATACTGCAGTGGGTGTCACTGCCAGTGGGTGGCCCCAGGAAATAGCCAAGTGCTGTCATCACCTCAGCATTGGTGGGGGGGCGCGGGGGCCCATCCCAGGCCCTGGCAGGACAGGGATGACTGGCCCTCCCAGGCCTGGGGCGCAGGGGCACCCGCCATGGCACGGGCCAGGGAGGCTCCTCGGAAGCCTGTGGCAGTCCCTGCTGAGCACGCGGTTCTCCCTCAGACACGTGGGCAGAGGCGTAGCAAGGAGTCCGAACTGGGAGAAAGTTAGTCTCACCGGAAGCAAAGCAATGCAAAGCGGGGAGTAAGGTCCTTGCACCCCTGGCCAGGCTGTGGCCCTGAGAATCAGGCCCCACTTCCTGGAAGGACTGTCAGTGTCCTCTGGAAAGCCCAGGCTGCCGACCTGCTCGGTCCAGCCTTGACAAGCCATTTCTAAGAGCACGGATTTATGAGCAAATGCGCTCTCACAGCCTGCCTTCTCCGGGGCAAGGACACCTCTGCGCGCTTCTTCAGCACCCGCGAGACTCTGCTGGGGCTGACGCCGCCTCAGCTGTGCCCAGCAGCAAGGCCCCTGGTTCCAGGAAGGGAGGTGGCCCAGTGCTGTGGGTCCTGGGGCCTCCCTTCTCCAGGGCCAATGTATGAAGAGGCCGGCCTCGTCCCCACCTGCTCACCTGGGGAGAAGCCCCACCTCTCCAGCCCCCACCTGGTCTGCAGGCCCACAGCCCTTGCCCTGTCCCTCGCGTTCCCCAAGGGCCTGGCTGTCCCTGCGGGCCACCCGCCCAGCCTGCTGAAAGCCCCGGCTGTTCACTTAGCTCCCCCTAGAGCGTC